ACATAGCATAACCTTACCCTACTGACAAAAAGAACAGCAAGAGGTGTGAAAATATTAACATTTTTATTTTAAGTAGGGAATATTTGTTAATCAGGACACGGACACATCCAGTGGAGCCGGCCGGGGTTTTTCGAAACCCCCAACCCGCGAAAAAAAGGGAAAGGGGGGGGGGGGGGTGGATGAAAGACAAACTTGTACATGGGCAAAGCGCGATTCAAACAGGCTCTCACATAATACTGCGACGAGCAATGTTGGAGCACTGCCCGCAACCGGTCGTCAAAAGAAGAATCAAATCGGCGACAGGGGAGGAGGACGAGGACGAGGACTTGGGGGCGGATATTTTGTGCAGCTACTGCAAGGCGTCGGTCTTCGCGTTGAGCAAAAACTCAGCGGCAGTTTGAAGAGGTTTCCACGCTGCCGAGTGCCTTGTCTTCAAGTAGCTGACGGGTACGGTGGCGATTTTTCTGGATTTGGAGACGTAGGCGCGCTTGTTGAAGTTGTCATAGTCGTTTTCTTCGAGGACGTTGAGAATCTGCGAGTACATGTCAAGCGAGGCCTGGACCGGCAACTGGGAGTCCTCAGCGAGCAGATGGACGCCCTTCTGGGCCTGCCTAAAGTAGCCCCTCGCGCGAGCGATCTGGAACTTGATGAGGTTCTTGTACCGCGAGTCGAGGACGCAGTTGAAGAGGTCCTCCTCGGTGTAGTTGAAGCGGCGCAGGTCCTCCAGCGGGAGGTAGATGCGGCCTCGGAGCCTGTCCTCGCCGACGTCGCGGAGGATGTTGGTAAGCTGCAGGCCGATGCCAAGTGCGAGGGCGGCCTTGGTGGCGGCGGCCAGGCCCTGCTGGCCGGGTTCGACCGTGCCCATGATGGGGAGGGTCATGAGGCCGACGGTGCCGGCGACCCTGTAGCAGTAGAGGTACAAGTCGTCAAAGGTTTCGAAGCGGTCCTGCTCGACGTCCATGATCATGCCCTTGATCATGTCGCGGAACGGGGAGATGGTGACGTCAGGATAGTTAGCGATGGTGTCCGCCATGGCCAGGTCCAGGGCATCGGTCGCGCGGCCGTCAAAAATGTTTTCCAGGCGGAGCTCCCAGTCGGCCAGCATTGGGAGCAGGTCGGCCGAGCGCTGGCTCACGCGCGGGCCGTCGACAAGGTCATCCGTGCGGCGGCACCAGGTATACACGGCCCAGACGGCCTTCCTCTTGTCCGGGTTGAGCAGGGCGGTGCCGAGGTAGAAGGTCTTGGAGTACAGGGCGGTGATCCTCCTGCACTCCTCGTAGCTCTTGCTGAGGATCTGCTGCCTCTTCCTGAGGAAGAGCATGCGCCTCC